GTTGTCCAATTAATTTATTTCTAATTCTAGTAGAGACGGGGTCTCGCTCTTGCTCAGGCTGGTTTTGAACTCCTGAGCTCAAACAATCCGCCCGCCTCGGCCTCCCAGAGAGCTAGAATTACAGGCGTGAGCCACCGCGCCTGGCCTCTATAAGCAATCTTTATACCTTCTCAATTTAATGGAAACATTATTTTTCATTCTATTCCCTTTGGCCCATGACCCTCTATAAAATCCCAATTTACCTGATAAGGAGGAAAAAGACAGTATATTTTTTACTGCTTTTCAATCATTTTTTTACTAGCTCACTTTTGAAGTCTATCCCATCTGCTTTACTTTAGCTTCTCCCATTTTTTTCATCTATTTATTTTAAAACATATCTCCTTCTTCTTCATCCCATCCTTGTTATAGCAGTAATCATTCTAAAAGTATAACCTCAATTTTTCTGACTTACATCTCCATTCTACTCCAGTAATCCAAATACTAGGTGACATGCTGGACTTTGACATTTCTTATAACTATCCTATCTCCAAGAAATTTGCTCTGGGAATACTCAATCTTATCCTTTTACTTCTCTCTTTCATTCAGTACATATTTACTAAAAGACTACTATGTACCAACACTGTGATGAAGTTAAATTGTAAAGTGGAAAATAAATTCTCATGATGCCTATCCTCATGCAACAGACAGTCTAGTGAGGAAGACAGACATTTAATAAATATACAGCAATATATTACCAATTGCGTGAAGCTATATGGAGCAAAAGAATGGTGTGCTAGTAAAACGTGGAGAAACTAGTTTGAAGGTTGGACAGGAAGGTCTATCTGAGGTAGGAACATTTAGGGTGATAACTGAAGAAAAAGTAGTAGACAGATGATTGGGGAGTGAGGGTGGAGGGGAGGCAGGATTTATGAGAACTGCTATCATCTATTTTCTCTCATATACTCAGCTCCTTCAATGTCTAACTTCTGCCCTTACTACTCTTTTGAAAGTTGTTTTCAAACATCAGTAACAATCCCTGCCAAATCCAATGGCTCTACTATCCCCACAAAACCATTTCCTGTCAGTTCCTGGATATTATTTTTAAAAATCAAGTTCATAAAAATATTATTTATATTTACTCCTTGCACATGATGAGTTTATCAGTATGAGTTTACTGTTAATTTATAAGTAAATATACATAAGTTAATATGTGACATATAGATTCATAGAACAGGACCACCATTTTGTTACTTTTATTTTTATAATTGTCATTATTATTACACATTCTCACCAACTGAAACACTGTTATTCTGATATTGAAACATTTCTGAAAAGTTAATAGCTTCAGAATCACTAAATCCACCGTACTTTTATCCTAAATCTTCCTAATCTCTTGATCAATATCAAACCTTCTTGTGTCTTGAATCTCCTGTTTTAGCTTCTCAGATCAGTTTCTACAATTCCCCCTCAGTGGCTTCTCAACCTTCTCCTACCTTGCAAATATAAACATTCCTCCAGATTTTGTTCTCAGTTCAGTGTTCTCCCTCTGTGCTCTCTAGACTAAGTTCTCGTCTTTATGAAACACCCACATCATGCCTGGAATAATTTCCCATGTTTGTAAGCTCCTACTGGTCATATGAACCTTCTTTCGATGATCGTGGTGAATCCCTTCCACATAATCTAAACAAAGGGGATCAGGACATAGCTTTCTCCTCTGTGCTCTCACAGCACTCTGTTCTTACTCTGTTGATATATTACTTATGATAATTGGATTGTAATTATCTATTCAATAGCTATTTATTTCCCTACTCCAAACAACAAGCGTCATAAGGACAGAGATCATGTTTTACTCAATTGATAACTGATAATGCTTATGGAGTTATTAAACATCAGAGACACTCAATATGTATTTGCTGAATGACTGCATTTCAAATCCATACTTGCTACTGCCTTTTCAGTATTGCCTCATAGATGTTCTCCTGAAACCAAATCTAACATTCAGGATATAAAAACACTTTCTTCCTCTACAAAATTCCCTCTTTGTTCTTACTGTCCTTTTGTGTTATTGTTACCTCTGTTCTAAGAATCTAGACTCACGAAAATGCCGTCACTTTTGTTGCCTCCTACCTCTTTTCCCGCTTCCAAATCATTGCTAAATTCTATATAATAGACTCCTAAAATGTTTCTTAATTTTATCCCTCCTTTTCATTCCCATAACCAATATCCTACTTCAAGCCTTCATTATCACTAACCTGGGCTAGCATAATAGACTTCAAATAGGTTTTCTCCTCCCATGTGTAATTATTTCACTCCCCTCTTCAACAACCTTCAGTGACTGCTAACTTCTATTGAACAAAGTCCAAATCTCTTTACCTGGCATTCAGCACCCTAATCTGGCCCCAAAGCATAATCCCCTCTTGTACCCCAGGCTCCAGCCAAAATTACTTAGCACTTATACTTCTGAGTCTTGTGTTTTTCTGAAATGATTTCATACAATTTCTACCTCTTGAAATCCTCTGCATCCTTCTACTTCCAACCTCCTTAACTCTGTTCTACCTAAAAATAACCTTTCTCATTAAAGAATTATAACTGTATTGTCCCACATGCTTAGAACATTCTAGCATTCTACCTTGCATCTGTATTATTTGTGGTCTTTACACATGGTATTTCCACATTCATTTTATCTCCCATGTTATATCTTGACTTTCTGGGGAAATTATAACAGTATCTTATATATCTTTGTTAGCTCCAAAGAGTTCAGTTTGGTGACTTCCTCAAAGAAAAGAATAAGTGGTATTTTTATGAATGATATTATTTCCAAACTCTTTAAATGGCTTTCACTCATGGTTTTTCTTAAATCTTTTTCTACTTTCAAAAGCAATAAATCCATATAAATTTCTTAACCAGAAAATCATAATTATATTATTTAGAAATAACTGTCTTTAATATTTTGTATCATCCTCCTATATTTTTCCTGTGCATACAAAGATAAATCTTGTTATGAAATTAGGTTATTTT